AAAGTGGAGTTGCGTCACCGTGCGCGTTTAAGCACGAGGCCCGAGCCCTATGGTTAACGGTCCACGGGGATGACTTTACTCTACTAGGTGGTGACCTTGATCTCGATTGGTTTGAAAATAAAATATAGGAGGAGTTTGAGGTAAAAGTGAGAGGACGACTTGGACCGGGGGAGGAAGACATGAAGGCGATCAGGATTCTTAACAGGATTGTGGAGTGGACTGAGGAAGGATTGAGATATGAGGCTGATCAAAGGCATGCGGAAATAATTGTGAAAGAGCTTGAACTTGAGGGAGTAAAAGTGAGGACTGAGGTGCCAGGTGAACGCATTCCAGTTGAAGAGGGAGACGAGGTAGAACTTTCGCCCAGCACGACTGAGCGATATCAGGCATTAACGGCCAGAGCGAATTATTTAGCTCAAGACAGATCGGACATACAGTATTCAGTAAAAGAACTTGCTAGGACCATGTCAAAGCCAACTATGGGTTCATGGAAAGGTCTAGTCAAGCTAGGAAAGTATTTGAAGTATCACAGCAGAAGCAGTTACGTGTATCAGTATCAAGAACAGCCTCGAGAGTTGACGATTTGGACGGACACAGATTACGCAGGATGTAAACGAACTAGGAAGTCTACGAGTGGAGGAGTAGTGATGTGGGGTAAACACATTATAAAATCTTGGAGCACAACTCAAAGTGTAATTGCATTATCGTCAGGGGAAGCAGAATATTACGGGCTTGTGAAAGGAGGATCAGTCGGACTAGGACTTCAGGCAGTGTTGAGGGATTTTAAACTGGATGTTGAGATCACCTTGAAAAGTGATGCCACGGCTGCAATCGCAATTGCGAGTAGACGAGGTTGAGGAAAAGTAAGACACATTGAAGTATGTCAACTGTGGCTGCAGCAGAAGGTAAAGGAGGGAGTAATTCGAATTGTGAAAGTAGGTACACATGAGAACGTAGCAGATGCATTAACCAAGTATGTCAGTCGTGAGAGCATGAGCACACACCTGCTAAACACAAACCAAAGTGCATTAACAGGTCGGCACAGCCTTGCGCCGGCCACCGAGTGTTGACATCCGCAGCTCATTTCTGTCAAGCAAGCAGTCTCGATTAAGGCTTCCTCCATCCTTTACCTCTTTCCCTCGAGCGTGAACGAAAGCATGGCGGACCATCAAGTCAACGTCACGATCAACGGCGCGGCGGTCGACCAGAGTCCGCCTGGGGCAGGACCGGTTACGCGCGAGAACCTCAATCGCCGTGTCGACGATACCGTCAACGTGGCTCATGCGTTTACCGTGACCCTCACCAACATGGCCATTAACTTCCACGGGGCCCATGATAAGCACGCTGACGAGATGCAGAGGGTTGCCGATGACATGGCGCGGAGGATCGTTGACTTAACGCAGCAGAACACCGCGTTGGTTCACGCCAATGACGATGTCAACGAGAACCTCAAGAGGGCGCAGGACGAGGTTAACAACCTTGTGGCGACGGTGACAGAGTTGAACGTCAAGAATCGCGACTCGGAGGTTAACACAGCGGAGAATGCAACCAAGTACCGGCGCATTAGCGAAAATATCGGTTGCCTCTTGAATACCGCCAGGCGCCTTACCGAGAACATCACGCCCCTGCAGGACTTCGAAGGTAAACGTGATGCGGCGCTACGTATGCTAGTGGGAGTTACCGAGAGGCTTGAGGGTTTGCAGAAGTTCTTGGATGACCCGATCAACTCCTCGGTTACCGATATTCCGCAGGTGCCGCCGCCGTTACCTGGGTCGCCCCCGACAGCAGCACCCGCCAAGGCGCCACCCGTTGCCGCCGCCGCGGCAGTCGGGCCCATGGCCACGGGCGCGCCCCCAGCGCAGCAGGTTAACGTGGCTCCGCCAGGCAAGGCCCCCCCTACTCAGGACCTGGCCGGCGCAACCGCTAAAGCCGGGGGGAGTCGGCGGTCCGCGTCGCCGAACAAGATTCGACCGTCACCGTTGAGCCGGCAGGGCGGTGAAGAGCCACAGCCTGTTTACAAGCGGGCGCCGAAGGCCATGCGCGAACGTCAACGGGAGCTGGAGGAGTTGATGCAGATAGGCATGAAGATGGACGAGGATCGAACGGTTGGTGGTCAACGTGATGAGGCGCCAAAGGACCCTGCCCCCGTCGTAAATGCGAGGCCGGCCAAGCCGCCCCCTCCGGGGCTCGGCGAGTCCAGAGCGGCAAGCAGCGTTACCGGCGTGAAGCCCCCGCCTCCAGAGCCCAAGAGGTTACCGATCCAGCACATCCCGCCACCGCAGCCTCAAGTCGTTAACCGCGCGACTGATCAGGTTGAGGGGTACTCCAGGACCGTCGCCAAGGCGGCGTACCGCCCGCTGTACCACGTCAACGGTCGCATGTCCATGCTGAACGACAGGAGCGACGACTACGACGTTAACTTTCGGGCGGAACCTGACCCCAGGGAGGTGGTGGCCTTAACGATGAAGACACGTGATAACTGGCGCAGGTTTGAGGGTAACTTCGTCGGGCACGTGGCGAAGGCGGGGTTAACGACCCCTGGCGGCAGGTCCATTCAGGGCAACACCGGGCGGGAGCTTAACGATTACGAGGACGTGTTCGTTGACATCTTCGGCCAACACGCTTACGGTTTCATCGGCTATGCCGTGTTGAAAGGTCCGATCAGCTGGAGATCTCAGTTAACGGACAAAGAGTTGACCAAGCATGATGAATGGGTTGACGCGGTTGGGCACGTGCAGTCCCTATTTGACGATGATTACGTGCCACCGCTCAACCTTAACGAGCTTCGATCACCGTGAGAAGCTTTGCTGGTTTGGCTGGTTACCGTGCGACGACTTCCCCAACTGGCTTACCGATCCGGCTTGGACTGTGAACCCGTTTACCGGCGCTGCGGTCGAAGAGCACCTCCGTAACAATCCAGGCGGTGGGCCTCTGTTAAAGGCTCCCCACGCCAGTTACTGGAGAGCCATCGGCACTTACCACAACATCGTTGACGGCTCAATTAAGAGCTACGATGAGGGGTGCTGGCTTGGCGACGAGGAGCGCATTAACGCGTACATGGACAACGACTACTACAGCCCGATGCAGGCCCTTAACAGGGTGTCGTCCTACACCGCAGCCGGCGTGGGACACCGCGGGTTACCGAGGTCGAGGGGTTCACGAGCCCCGTCGGCGAGGCGCCCGCGTCGTCCGTGAAAGACGGCAGGCAGTCAGCATGCTGCAGTTCACGCTCTTCCTCATCTCCCCTCTTAACTTGGCTTAACGGTCGAGCGGCGGCAGCTTGTTGAGCTGAGTTTGTTTGCATGCGCATCTCTTGTTGTTACCGCAGGTATTGGCGAATAAAAAGCGAAAGCAATCAAAATCATCCAAATGCTAGCCTGCTGTGTAAACTTTAGATGCTTCGTTTGAACTTGTGACAGTAAAAGCGTTTACTCGAGCTCAGGTTACATGTGTGAGAAACTTGGTGCTCGTAAGTGCCGTCACGAGACATTTCGAATTCAACAGTATGATGAAGAGACTTAACGTCATTTGCGTGCGGCGTTTTGCAAAGTTGGACCTGTTTTTGTGATTGTAGACGCCTCCCCGTCAGCCTATACGGACTAGCGTCCGAGGGGGGTGTTAACATGTAAGCATTCAGGTGACTGGGGAGTGAAGGTGCCCCCGTTACCTTTGGCTCAAGTGTTTAACGGCTGAAGCTACCGAGACTCGCTTCGCCGTGCGGAAGTAAAAAGGTGACCGATCGTCATCGCTGTCACCGAGCTCCCGTGCAGAACCCTCCTCGGGGTTTTGCAGGAGGAGGAGGAGGGGGAGGAGGATGAGGAGGAATGCATCGGGTATTTTGCCAAGCCGCCGCCACATGTTTGGACTCTGGTCCTCACGATGTTCCTAATATGATGTCGTGGTTTTTCATGGTGCCGTTGCCATCTCTCGGGGCTGCATCATGTTGAACATGGTCCTTCGTCTCGTGACCCTCTCCGCATGTACTCCTGCTCCGTCTCCTGCTCGTAGTCCTCCATGCGTCGCCGTTGCTCCCCAATCGGTGCTCAACGCGCTGGGACCCTTCTTGCCCCAACCAGAGGAGGAGGAGGAGGAGGAGGAGGAGGAGGAGGAGGAGGAGGAGGGAAGGAGGAGAGCGAGGAGGAGGCGGAGGAGAGGAGGAGGAGGGGAGGGGGAGGAACAGGAGGAGGAGGAGGAGGGAGGAGGGAGGAAGGAGGAGTTGAGGAGATAGGAGGGAGGAGGGAGGAGGAGGCGGAGGAGGACTAGGAGAGGAAGGCGCGGAGGCTAGGAGGGAGAGGGGATGGGGGAGGAGGAAGGAGGAGGAGAGGAGGAGGAGGGAAGGAGGAGGAGGAGGAGGAGGAGGAGGAGGAGGAGGGAGGAGGGATGGAGGAGGAGAAGGGGAGGAGGATGAGGAAGGAGGAAAGGAGGAGGGAAAGGGAGGAGGAGAAGGAGGAGGGGGAGGAGGAGGTGAGGAGGAGGAGGGCCTGAGCATTCCCGCCCCGTGTGCTCCCTGAGATCGTGGCCATCTCCTCCTCCTCCTCCTCCTCCTCCTCCTCCCTTTCCTCCTCCTCCTCCTCCTCCTCCTCCTCTTCTTCCCCCATCCCTCCCCCCTCCTATCCCTCCTCCTCATTCCTCCTCCTCCTCCTACTCCTCCCCATCTCCTCCTCCTCCTTCTCCTCCTCCTTCTTCTCCTCCTCCTTCTCCTCCTCCTCTTCCTCCTCCTCCTCCTCCTCCTCCTCCTCCTCCTCCCCCTCCTCCTCCCCCTCCTCCTCCTCCTCCTCCTCCTCCTCCTCCTCCTCCTCCTCCTCCTCAGCGCTGCCAGCTTTTCGTGCACAGCGCCATCCTCTCGCACAACTTGGGTGAGAAGCTCAAGGACTTCGTGCAGGGTTTTGGTGCTGGCCCAGACTCGTCGGTCCCCATGTTCGTGGGCTACGGCGAGGATGTCGTCGACAGACTGGTGGGGCTTCAATGAGGGCATATTCTGGGAGGGGCGGATCCAGGACCTAGTCAAGGACATGAAGGCGGAGGTCTTGGACAGGCGCCCTGGGACCTTGTGGTGGCAGGTGTGGCGCCACATGAGGCCCAAGGCCAGTCCGGAAGAAGCCGGCGGAGGTGGACTTCAAGAGCTTCAATGAGGGCATATTCTGGGAGGGGCGGATCCAGGACCTAGTCAAGGACATGAAGGCGGAGGTCTTGGACAGGCGCCCTGGGACCTTGTGGTGGCAGGTGTGGCGCCACATGAGGCCCAAGGCCAGTCCGGAAGAAGCCGGCGGAGGTGGACTTCAAGAGCAAGCCGAAGCAGGACTGGGGCAACCGCAGCAAGGCGGCGATGGCGTCAAGGCCTCCTGGGTTGGTGACGGCATCGGCGACGGCTTCGACGGGGGGGGGCACCGTTGGCGGCCTGGAGTCCGATCCCGAGGTTGGCGGCGGCTTCGTCGGCGGCAACTTTGGTGGCACCGCAGGCGGCTTGGGTGGCGTTCCCAAGGAAGGCGGAGGCATCGGCGCAAGCGGCATCGGCGGCTGCGGCGGTGGCGGAACCTTCGGCGGCTTAGGAAGCGATCCCGGGGTCGGAGGAGGTATCGGCGGGCGGCTCGGCGGACCAGGGACTGGCGGCAGCGGTGAAGAAGCGCCCTGGCAAGCGCAAGAGGGCCATCCTCCAGAATCGGAAGGAGAAGCAGGAGAAGAAGGATAAGAAGGAAAAGGAAAAGCAGCAGAAAAGGTCCCATGCGAAGGTCATGATCCTCTCGGAGGCGGGCAGGAGGAGGCTGGCCCGCCTGCTCTGGGAGGCTCGCAAGCGGCTTCATGGGAGGCCGTCAAACTAGGATGACACCCAGAGCGAGGGCTTCAGCGAGTGCGGGACCGAGTAGGCGCGCAACCTTGTCTACGACCTGCACGTGCAGCTGAAGCGGAAGGAGGAGGCCTGCGATTGCCTGGCCGCGGAGGCCATGAAGTTGCGCAGGCGGGCCTGGGAATCCAACGAGGGTGTCTCGGACGAGCTGCCCCACAGCGACGACGGGAACGACAAGCAGAAGATGGCAGACTCGGAGCTGCCCGGCGTGCCGCCCTTCCCCGACTTGAGCTTCAAGCAGAAGCCCACCCAGGAGGGGTTCGAGGCGCTGGTCAGCGCCTGCCTGCAGCAGGTGGGGAAGAACACACATGAGGCCAAGAAGCGCTTCCGGGCCATCAGGGATTGCTTGGAGCTGGGCGTGGACGGCTAGGAGGACAAGAGCCGCCTCTTGGAGGTGATGGAGGTAATGGAGGGGATCGGCATCCTGAACCTCGAGCCCGTCGTGGGCAAGTTTTGAAAGGGGGTGCGATGGGCCCTGGGGGGTGGGGAACCGCTTCCGTCGCCTCCCCGTCGCGCATCGGGCTCCTTGGGCCCGTGGCCCTTGTGGACCCCTTCTGGGCTGGTCCTTTGGGGCCTCTGTTGGGCCTCGGTGGCCTGGCGCGCCGCGACGGGTGATGGGTGGGGAGCGGTTCGCCCCCCTGCCACGGCCCGCGCGGCGGGGGGGGGAGTACCCGTCCGCGTCATCAGCGCCCTTCTCCTCCTCCTCCTCCTCCTCCTCCTCCTCCTCCTCCTCCTCCTCCTCCTCCTCCTCCTCCCCTCTCCTCCCCCTCCCCCTCCTCCTCCTCCTCCTCCTCCTCCTCCTCCTCCTCCTCCTCCTCCTCCTCCTCCTCCTCCTCCTCCTCCTCCTCCTCCTCCTCCTCCTCCTCCTCCTCCTCCTCCTCCTCCCCTCCTCCTCCTCTCCTCCTCCTCCTCCTCCTCTTCTCCTCCTCCTCCTCCTCCTCCTCCTCCTCCTCCTCCTCCTCCTCCTCCTCCTCCTCCTCCTCCTCCTCCTCCTCTCCCCTCCCCCTCCCGCTCCCCCTCCCCCTCCTCCTCTCCCTCCGCCCCGTAGCGGGGGGGGTGCAGGGCCGAGGGGCAGAGGGCGAGGGAGGAAGGGGAGCGCCCCCTGAGATCTCGGCGTTGCAACGGGCGTCTTCGCTCGGTTTCGGGCCCCAGGGCCCTCGCAGGTCGATCCGGCTCGGAAAATGATCCAGAAAGATGGTGTCCAGGGGTCTGGGCGCGATTTTTAGCGATGTTGCAATTTCTTGCCACGTCGGATCTCAGGGGGCGTTCCCGCCCCGTTCGCTGAGATCGCGCCGCACCGCTTGCGCTCCGTCGATTGATTCTAAGATCGCTCCTGCCTGGCGAAGGGCCCAACCATGTGCCTGTGGGCATCGCGAGGCAGGTGAGAAGAAAGCTGGGGGGCTGGATGGGACCACGTGGGCGGGGGGCCGCATGTGATTCTGGCCACAGCGGCCTTCGGTGGGGCCTGGGGACGCATGTGTTTCCTGCCACTGAACGCCTTCAGTGGAGTTCCACATGGTGCCACGAAGCGGGTGAGGGTGTGCCAACTGGGGACGTATGTGATTTCTGCCGCTGAGGCCTCTGGTGGAGTTCCCTGTGGCGCCACGAAAGGTGTGAAGGGTGTGCCGAAATTGGATTGGGGACGCATGTGATTCCGGCCACTGAGGCCATCGGTGGAGCTCCATTTGGGACCATGAAACCTGTGACGGTGTGCCACAATGGGCCTGGGGACGTATTTGATTTCTGCCACTGGGGTCTCCGGTGGAGCTCCCTATGGGGCACGAGTGAGGGGTGATCACGATGACATGCGGAGGCAGAAGCGGGAGAAGGGAGGAGGGGGAGGAGGAAGGAGGAGTGAACGCGGGGCGCCGCGGGTTCAAAGCGAGGACCCAACACCACAGGATGGTTGTGAATACATTAGGATATACCCCCATGCTGTGGCCAGACTTGATATCCCCTCCGCGGATGGGGTTTTTCGTTACTGTTCTGCGCGACCGTTTTTTGACCTTCCGCCACTCATCACTGTCAACTAGTCTGATGCAGGTCATTCAATTTCAGATTACAATGTGCATGTCAAGGTCTCGGTATCAAGTAGTACCATTCGGGCCCCACGCGCACATATCACATGTGATAAAAACCATATGTGGTCAAGCTACATTGAACACAAGTTACCCGCATCTTGTTACAATCGGGCGTTGACAGATTTGCGCGAGCACGCGTTCATTGAACTCCTGAGAAACTCGTAATCACCAGCGTCAACATTGCCAACGTCGTCATCCTTATCATCATCAGCAGCATCATCATCAGCTTCATCTCCGTCTTCGTATTCATATTCGTCTTCATCTTCAGATCCATCATCATCATCACTATCATCATCACCATCCCCATCGCCGCCATAATTTGTATGCATTGCCATCGTCGTTGTCGTCGCCCTCTTCATCATCGCCTGCAGCATCGTCGCCGTCGCCGACGTCGTCGTCACCATCATCACCCGCCTGCCCGAGCCATACATCTGCATGATAGGAGTCATCGTGACAGTTGAGTTTGGCTCACGAGATGCGGATTGGCGGTTTGGATGTTTGCTCGAGCAGTGGAGCTGGCGACGCCAAGCTCCTCAAGTATTAGCTGCGCCACGATTTGTTCAGCACGGGGTCCTGCGCGTTGAGGTCTTCAGTACGTTACGTTGGAGGCCTGGGGCCAGGAGGGCCCTCTCTGGCGCGCCTCGCGCTGGTGGTGGCGGTGTGGCCCACACACGTCGGCCCAATGCAAGTCTCTTGAATTTTCGTCACGTCGCTCGCTAGCGGAAGCCGACGGCAGTAAAACGAGGCGGAAGACGGGATCTCGCGCGCGCGAGCGCCGAGCACGCGCGCGCGCGCGACAACTAGTGTCGCCGATGGGCGTACACACATGTACTTCTTTTCTCGAGTTTCCAAGGACATTTTTGTTGGAGCCACGTAGTTTGCACCGTGCATGCTGCGCCACAGCGGGGGGATCCGGCCAGATTGGCCACACACCCAAGCGAGGGGCGAGGGAGGGCGAGTACAGGTGGGAGGCACGGGCCGCTCCCGCCGCCGCCCGCTACCACCTCCGCCTCCGCCTCGCCCCCCTCGCCCCCCTCCTCGAGGACGAGGACGAGGATGAGGAGGAGGAGGACGAGGACGAGGACGAGGACGACGAGGAGGACGACGAGGACGAGGACGAGGACGAGGACGAGGAGGAGGAGGAGGAGGACGAGGAGGAGGACGAGGAGGAGGAAAAGGAGGAGGAGGAGGAGGAGGAGGAGGAGGAGGAGGAGGAGGAGGAGGAGGAGGAGGAGGGGGGGGACCTCGCCCTGGCCCCGCGACGAAGGGGGTCCAACGAGGGACCGAAAAGCGAACGAAGCAGGGGCCCGAAACGCGGAGGGGACCGACCGACGACGCCCCAGAATTCCACACAAGCCGTCGCGCGGGGAGCGCTTCCACTCACAAGGCAGCAGGCTGCGCAAACTGCCGGCTTCAAACCGCACTGGCACAGAGACCCGAAACGGTCACGTTGCGTGCTGAGACACATGATCGGCACGGCACGGTACGGCAAGTTTTCGCATTCTGAGAACCAGGCATGGCACGGCACGGGATTTAACTAACGCGTTCTCGAAATCAAGCACGGCGCGGAACGGCACAGCACGCGGGCCCGCCATGAATTGGCGATTTGTGTCGACGTTGGTTCCCTTGTTACGGGGGGAGAGATGGAGTGGGCGGGGCCTGTTGACCAGCTCGAGATGCCTGCCTTGTCCCTCTCCGTAATCCTTCTCCCAGTCGTCCGCCTACAGAAAAGGGCGTTCATTAAGGAATGCGCCAAGGAGGCTACAGTTCCTGGAGGATTCCTTATCCAGCTGCCTGCGGGAAGTCCCACCACCGTGCCAGCCCAGCATTATGGGTGGCGATTGTTCGAGGGGGCACGGAAGGCCGTCACATGTGACACATCGTGTCTCCACGGTTGCGAGGGCCGTGAAAAAGGATGATGAGCTTGATGGGGATGATGACGATGATGATGATGATGATGATGATGATGATGATGATTATTATGATGATGATGATGATGACGATGACGATGACGATGACGATGACGATGACGATGATGATGATGATGATGATGATGATGATGATGGTGATGTTGGTGGTGATGATGGTGATGATGCTGATGATGATGATGACGACGATCATGATGATGTTGCTGATGATGATGGTGATGATGTTGCTGATGATGATGGTGATGATAATGAGGAGGATGAGGATGATGATGAGGAGGAGGACGAGGAGGAGGAGGAGGATGGAGGAGGAGTTGTTGATGCTGAGATACTGATGCTGATGTTGATGATGATGGTGCTGATGATGACAATGCTGATGTTGATGTTGATGATGATGATGATGGTGATGATGCTGATGATGATGCTGATGGTGGTGGTGATGATAATGATGGTGACAATGATGATGAAAGTGATGGTCATGGTGATGATGTTGGTGATGATGATGATGCTGATGCTGATGCTGATGATGATGATGATGATGATGATGATGATGATGATGATGATGAGTATGATGAGTATGATGATGATGATGATGATGATGATGATGATGATGATGATGATGATGATGATGATGATGATGATGATCCCCGTGTCTGAAGGGGTCAGGAGCTCCTAGCTCGAGCTGCCCCTCGGACCGATGCGTTTCCCTTTGGCCCTGCGGAGGCAACGCTCGGTCTCGTGCACCACGGCGCACACACGCAGATCGCCCGAGTGCCGAGAGCAATCAGCCGCCTCAGCCGAGGCAAGCGGATGACCGATCCAAGCAATCGAAGCGACCCAGCACGCTCGGAAGTTGGCAGAGGCCACGCTGCGCGGTCTAGCAAGCTGGTACACAGCTGAGCTGTTCGCCGCACCCGCGAAATAACTAGGTCCTTAGGCAAACAGCCGCGGCCGACCGACGTCGCAGGAGATCGAACCAGAGCGTGGGCGGACCTACGCTCTCGGGTCGCCCTCCACGTCCGGGGACGGGCAGGGCACTGTCGCAGAAACGCGCCAGAAGCTACATTGACAGAAGGCGTGCAAGCACGCCGAGACGGAGGCAAGGGCTCGACTGCACCTCCCTTCAGCAGAGCAGCCCGTCGAATTGGCACGAGGCAACACAGACGGATGGTTGCATTGCCGAGGGTACGGAGCCCGATCCCGAGTGAGGGCGAACTTTCACTCCTGGGTCTGCCTCCAAAAATGAACCTCTGATGCGACCAACTAAAACAGTTAGGCGGGCGGGGGGGACATGGCAACGGTCGAAGCGGCCTGGCAAACCCAGACCCCC